TGAAAAAAGCCAGAAGTGGCGCTGTGGCTCAAGTGGTAGAGCTCTAGCCTTGAGCTGAAGAGCTGAGGGATAGTGCCCAGGCCCAGAGTTCAGGCCCCACGACTGGACCCAAAAAAAAAAAACAAAAAACAAGAAGAAATCAGTAAAGTTAAGGTGTGGACTTTCAGGAGGCTCCCAACCTTGCAAAACAGTACAGCTGTTAGAAATGTCTTCCCCACACCAACCTAAACTGTTGCTGCTGGCCTCTTTTCCTTGTGCAAGATGTGCTGGAGACTTTCATAAAAAAGGCAGAGGCTGGAATTGTGGCTTAGTGGTAGAGTGCTTGCCTCGCATACATGAAGACTTGGGTTCAATTCCTCAGTACCACACACACTGAAAAAGCAGGAAGTGGAGTTGTGGCTCAAGTGGCAGAGTGCTAGCCTTGAGCAAAACAAGCTCAGAGACAGTGCCCAGGTCCTGAGTTCAAGCCCCAGGACTGCCCAAAAAAAAAAAAAAAGGGCTGAATCTCCCTTCACACACAGGAAGCTGTTAACATATTCTTCCAGGCTAAACACAAAAGACACAAAAGACTCAGTGGGATTGTCTGATTCCTGTGCACCAACTTGGAATAATGACGACACACTAGGCTTCAGGGACAGAAGAAAAAAGCATTATGAAAAGAGAGAGAGTCTTAGGAAGATCCTTAGACTTAGACTGGAGGTTGGGGATAGGGACAGAGATCTTACTAAAGGTAGTAGAAGATCCTTTTTCTGAAGAATAGTAGTTCACTGGGAGTTACCCCTAAATCTCTGCATATGCTGAAGGCAGAAACAACCACAATTGCTGAAAGAAGGCCCCATGATGGGAAGACACAGGAAAAAACAGAGAGGCTGAGCATAGAAGATGCTCATGCTCAGTGGCTTTAGGACAGGTGTCTGCAGAGGATGGATCAGCTAGCAATTGCTATTTCATGCAGCCCACACATGTCTGGTGGTCACCCACAAGAAAGTCAAGAAAATCTTCCAGGTTCCACTGGGGCCCTTGAAAAAATTACCTGGGTAATTTTCAAACAGCAGAAAGGCTGTTTCCAGACTTCCTAGGAAGTCTGGAAATCCCTGTGATGGCAACAGAACCTTAAGAGCAACCTAAAATGTACATGCAAGAGAAGTGGGTGTTCCAAGGGGGAGCCCCTGAGACACTTCTACCTAATTTGGTGATCTGAATAAGATTACTGAAAATTTCCACGTTTGGGGTTTCTAATGGGGTTTCCCCAAGAAAACCACAGACTCACCAAATTTGCAGAGGGAGCTGAGATATTTTAAGCATATATCCGTGCTGAAGAAGCCAGACATCTGAGAAGACACCTACAGATGTTAAGAGATCCCAGGGCCATGCAGCCTGGGAAATCCAAGTTAGGTCTTCTCCCCACATGTGGGCCATTGCTCGTTCTCAGCAATGGTGTTTCCATCAGGTAAAAAAGTTTCTCCAGAGATAGCTGTCCCAAAATGGCCTAGCCCACTTGGGCCCTCACCCTCATTCCCACTGGAAGACCCAGCAATCCTTCCATCTAGCAGAAGGTCATATATACAATATTCCAGTGAATATTTCAGGATTTGGCTTTGTTTCCTAAGTAATAACTGCAGGGGGTAAAGTTCAGTCCCCAGAAGGAGTAAACCCATTCATTAAAAGAAGTGTTTCCACCCTACAATTAAGGTAGGGAAGGGCTTTTATTCTAGATTCTTTACCAGAGTCAAGCTATGGCAGCTGGGTATCATTATTCCATTTTACAGGTGAGAGAGACAGACTAGAGAGACAAACAGGTTCAGCGTTTTTCCAGGTGACTCAGGCATGCAGCAGTATGGCTAGAGGCTGGAATTCCAGTCCTTGGAGCATCATCCTACAATTAGGAGGGGCAGGCTACCTCCCTGTACTCACACCACTGTCATCTACTTAGGGCCTGAGCAATAAAAACACAAACCCAGAAAACCACCTGACATTAAATGTTTCACCAGTGCCAGAATCTGAGGCTAGGCATACCTTTGGGAACTTGCCACCAATAACAAAGGCACTGTCCTTCATACTGTTAACCTGGACAATACTAAGATCACAGCTCAGAGCAAACACCTTCACAAACCATGATGCGTTCAGCCCAATAGCATCTCTGCTTGCTGTGCCAGTCTGTTACTTCACTACTTCCTGGACAACCTAACATGGATGGAAAGTGTTTAGGCTGTGTTGTTAAGCCAAGCATGGTGTAAATTCTAACTCAGTCACTTAACTGGATGAGAGACAATTTAGGATCATTTATCCACTAGGAACTTCATATATAAACTAGGAGTAAGTCCATCTACCTCAGAAGGTTAATGTGTGGAACACATGAAAGAACATACATTTCAGTGACGGGAGATACCATGTCTGGTTTATGACTAGCACCTGCCTTACAGGACATGCTCAATAAAGAACTAAAACAAGCCGGGAGCCAGTGGCTCATACCTGTAATCTTAGCTACTAAGGATGCTGAGATCTGAGGATCACGGTTCAAAGCCAGCTCAGGCAGGAAAGTCCATGAGACCCTTATCTCCAATTAACCACCAGCCAACTAGAAGTGGTGGTGTCCCTCAAGTAGTAGAGTGCTAGCCTTGAGCACTAATGCTCAGGGACAGCGCTCAGGCCCTGAGTTTAAAAAGCAACAACAACAAACTAAACACAAAGCCTAATATGTAAGAGGTAAGTACTCAATAAAGGCTTAGTTCCTGGCCCTTTCCTGTAGGGATGCTAAATTTAGAGTACACCAAGGATAGAATGGCCGGAACTCCTACACTCAAGGACCTCCCAAGCTGCAAGTGTCAGAAGGTTAAGGATGTTGTAACTTGTGTACTGCTCAGAAGAGGAGGGTACCTGAGAAGAAAAGTGGTGGGTACCTTCTTCTAAGGCTCAAAAGATCCTGTCTTGAATTTTCTTTACCCCCTGGCCTTGGGGGAAGAATGCACATCCAGAAATGGTTGTGCCATAACTGGCTTTTCTGCACATATCCCTTTTGTCCACAAGTAGAAGCCACATGTTACAGGGTATGTTGCCCAATGGGTTCTAGTGATTACTGAAAAAAGATAGAAGATGGAATTTCAGTCCAGTGGAGGCCTAGTGAACTTGCCCAGAGTTGCTCTAAGCCCTCTTTAACTGGGCACCATGGGGCAACTGGCAATTCTGTCATTAGAGTACCCTCTATAGAAGCTGGCTGGCAGACCAGGCACCTCTTCCCATTTGCCTTTTGTTTGTCGATGGCAACAGGCCTCTTAGTATTAGGACCAAGGCCAAACAATTGAGCAAGGTAGGTAAAGAGCCCAAGTCACTTGGAGATACTCAGAGGCTGTGTCGGAAGAGCTGCAATCCAGTCCCTCCCATAAATCAGTTGAACAAATATTTGATCCAAAAGAGAATCAAAGCAGGTGGGAAAATACCAGGTAGAGGCACCTACAGGAACAATTTAATCATTTATCTTCCAGGGAGTCTATTTACAGAAAGACTTTCCATTGTACATCCAGAGCCCACCACATTTACCTCCTACACCGCCACTCCAATCACCTGACATTCATTGACCTGACCCCTTTGCCTTTCACAAGAGCTGGCGGGAGAGATGAAGTAGGAAAAAAGAAAGGAAATGGAAGAGGGGGTGGGGCTGCAGAGCAAATCCAGGAGGTCTCCTGCTTGTGAGTAAAGTGCTTTTACCACACCCTGGCCCAGCCTATGGACAACCGCATTCTTGACATTCCTGAGTCCTTGGAGCATGGCCCCTTCCACCTCAGCTCCTTCAATGGATGACTTATTTTCCTTAGCTAGTTAGTTTCCTGCATATTCTGGGGAACAGAATACCTCTGGAGCCCTGTACCTCCCTCAGGCAGAGATGAGCAAGGAACTACAGCAGAGCTCACCCAACCCAAGTACAGAACCACAGGTAAAGAAACCAGCCTGTATCTCATCCTGAGTGATGGGCAGGAGGACTGCTCTATGGAAGGACACTCACTGATATCCCTACTCACACTATCCCCGTGAGTTGGACACTCTGCAAGGCAAGCAAACTTGCCATATTTTTCTAGTGGAAGAAACTAAGGCTCAAGAAGGTAAAGCAGGCTGCCCAAGGTCACACTACTAGTTCAGTGAGTGAGCCAGAACTCATCCAATCTGTCACCACATCTTCATGTTGTACGGAGCACCACAGATTGGGTTTTTACTTTGCCAGCAAACGGTACTAACAATAACAACAACAAAGCCCCTGGGCTGTGGCCGGAAAGTAACAGATAGAGCAGCTGGAGCTCCCCAACCAACCCCAGGCAGGGAGGTGCAAAAGTCCTAGGGCTTAATGCATGACACAGCAAGAGCTCTACAAACAAGCCAACCATGCAGAAAGTTGCACACTTTGGGGAAAATGAACTTAGGAGCACAGCACAAATACAACTAGCACAGACTGGCCTAAAACCTGACAATTTTCAGCCATCTAAGGCAGTGGGAATGCCTACCTGGACAAATGGTCTGAGTAGTACCATATACGCATACTCTGAAATAAAGGGGGCTTGGTTTGAGGAGAAAGGCAGGATAGGACTGAGACTCAGGAGAGAGGCTGGAGGGGCTGGAGGGTCACGGGGTGGCCAGCGTCTCCATGCATTATGGTCATCACCTTCTGTGTGGGAAACCATTGCATCCAAGTAAAGGGAACCCTAGGCCAACTTCCCATTCTCAAAGGTTTCCATCTAAATGAACATACAGGCTATGTTTTCATTTGCTGAGACACTGGAATGTAAATATGAAAAGGTGGGATCAAGAGGGTGAGTAGAATAAAGAATGGGGGGTCCTCAACTAGGTCATTCATATTCTCAAAGAGTTGTTAACCTCTGCTGGTGAAATGAAGCCAGGCAGGTCTCCTTAACAATCAACATCTGCAACAATCACCCAACACTAGGAAAGGAACGGAGGGGAAGGGCAGAGGGGATCCCCGAACAGGGAAACACAAGGGGCGTGGTTCTTACCCAGCCGCCGTGCTCCTGGATCCAAGGCTCTAGGTGGTCATTCAGGTAAGTGGCCATCCAACTTGCGATCCGACTCACCAATACCTGCATCTCCTTGTCTACGCTTTCCACACACAGTGCCCCGCCGAAGGAGAAAAAGGCCACAATTCGACCCCAGTTTACCCCATCCCGGAAGAGTTCGTTCACTACCTGCTCAAAGCTCTGATACGCTGTCCCCGGGGTAATATGGAGCTGGGATGTCAGGTCACTGAATGCCCGTCGATACCGCAGTTCAAACTCATCGCCTGCCTCCCTCAGCGCTTGCTTCACAGCTGCCATGGGAATCACTTCCCGGGCTTCCGAACTGCTGCTGTGACCCGTGGCTCCATTCACCACCGCGGGGCTGTCCGCCAGGTGCCAGGATGGGTTGCCATTGATAGCACTGGGGGTCTCCATCTCCGATTCAGTTCCTTCTGGGTCCTCAGTCCTGCTCTCTTCCACATCGCTAAACTGACTCCAGCTGTATCCTTTCTGGGAAAGCTTGTAGGAGAGAAAGTCAACCACCAGCTCACGGTTGCTCTGAGACATTTTTTTTTTTTTTATAATAGAGATGGGCTCAACCAGTCCATTGTCCAAAACACCTGCTTCACTCACAGAATCTGGTCTCTGCTTAGTGGTTCTCTTCTAAGATCCAAAGCCAAAATAAGGTTCTGAAGAGAGAGAAAGAGCTTTAGGGGAAAAAACAAACACAAAAATAAATTAAATTGCATATGCCCATTTACCCTTACGACCATCCAGTCCTCCTTCGGGTACCAGACCTGATTTCTTTGTAGCTCTTATGAAGAAGGTCTGAGTCCGGGTTTTAAGGGACTTCAATAAAGTCAAATGCAAAGGACTAATGGGCTCTGAATGATCCCATCCGCCTTAAAAGAAAAAAAAAAATCCCAGCCACCCCCGTTTCTCCGAAATACCTTCCTGGCGGAAAGTCACCCCCATGGATGGGCAAGTCCCCCTCCCGCACCACCTACATTCAAATCCGTCTCAGGCGACAGGCAGGCAGGTGCAGCCCCCGGAAGATCTTTTGTATCATAGGTCGGGAAGAGGAGGCTGGCAAGCCGGATTCCCCGGTAACTCAACCGGCCTCCCGGCGGCTGGCAAAAGAACCAGCTCCGGCCGAAGGGCTCATGCGACCCGGTAAATGCCGAGAGCCCGGAAGGCCGCCCAGGAATCGCGAAGCGTTAGGAACCTGCGCCCTCGCTGGTTTCCTCCTCCATCGCCCGGATCGAGGCGGCCTCTCCGCTCCGCTCCGCAGCCTCCAGCCACCCGGGAGCCCAGCCCCCTCGCTCTCGCACGCCCCTTGGCTCTCCGCCTCCTACTGGGAGCCAGGAGAACTCCCCCGGAGGTATGGGCTCCGCGTAGTTGCCTTTTCCCCCCCCCCCCCTCTCTCCTTCTTCCTCCTCCCTCCCCTTCCTTTCTTCCTATGTAAGCACCGGCCCCGGGCGAGGCTTCGGGAACCCAGGAGGGACTTCTGAATGGGGCTCAGGGTTTCCCAGAGAGACGCGGGGGGTGGGGGGCGCTGCCGCGGCTCTGCGCTCGGACTTCCGAAAGGCCGCCCCCAGGTCCTTCCGGGCGGCTCAAGGTTGGAGACACCCCACGAACGCCACGGGTTTTCTGTGGATTCTCCAAAAGCTCCGGGACGCGGCGGTGGGGGATTGCCAGGTCCTCCATTCCCCACCCGGACACAATGGCCGCCGGCACCCGGCACAAAGACAGACGGGGTTGAGGGGCGGGGAGGCGCTGGGCCTCTCCACCGGTCAGAAAGAGGGGTCTGGGCCTGCTCGAGGCCTCCCCCTCCCCACCCCACAGCTGAGACCACGTTTTCCTGGGCACGGGCCCAAGACAGCTTGCCAGAGTCCCCCCGGGAGAGCTCGAGGACGAGGGGACTGCACCTCTCTGGAGCCCCGGGTGGGTGGGCTTGCAGCCTCGCGCCTTCTCGCGCTGGCTAGGCCGGGTACCCGCCGAGCCACCGCCCCGTTGCTAGGCAACCGCCCTCCCTCAGGGGCGCCCCCAAGACCTTTCAGGGAGGAGGGGTCTCGCCCCCGACGGCCCGCCCCGGCGTAGCCAATCAGAGAGTCGAGGCGCTACGGAAGCGGGACGGCGAAGGATCCTATTGGGCGCGGTGCCTGTCACGCAGCGGGGAGGTGGCGCTCTCACCTGCGAGCCCAGCGAACCGTGGGGGGCCACATCCCCCTTCATCGGCCCGGTAGCTTCCCGACGTGGGGGCTCTTCGCTGCCGAGTTCTGCGCCGCGGACCTAGGCCGGCCTACCTGGCTGACTGCTCACGCCGTTTCTCCCGAACAAGCCGGCCTCAGTTTCCCCTGAAGAGACCGGGGGAACTTGCAAGCTCAGTCATTTCCGGTGCCGCGGCAGCGCGCGCGAGCCCGAGACGCACGAGGAGTGCGCGCCTGGAGCGACTGGCTTTAAGCCCTGGGTGGCAGCGCCCCCTGGCGGCAGACTAGGGAAAACCGCAGACGCTAACAATTATAGTCACATTTCCATTCATTCCATCGGTAGCCTCCATCCATACATCCAGTTTGTATAGAGGAAAAAGCGTTCGCGTTGTGGCTAAGCACATTTTTCTGAGGGGGCAGGTTTTTCAGCTGGTCGGTACCTCCACTTCATCAACTGTAAAATAGGTAATAGTGTAACAACAACTTCTCATTGAGCACTTGCAGCTGGGTGTTGGTGTCTCACACCTGTAACCCTAGCTGCGCAGGAGGCTGAGATCAAAATTTGAGGACAGCTCAGGTTCATATCATGAGATAATTGCGACTTAAGGGGACAGCCTTGGTTCTCATCACAGGGAAATTGCTACTCTGTTGGAAGAAACAGCCCTATTGATGCCAGAGTTGTAGACCCTGGGCCCAAACTCTGGGAGAGCCACATATCGGGGCCAGCCAATGTCCCTATATGCCAAATGTGAAGATATGGTGAAGGATGGAGAAAGGTTTATTATATGGTACAAGCAGCCACAGGAAGACATCAATTCATCTTCATCTGTCTTCAGGGCACAGTCATGAGCTACAGGTTTAAATAGATTAAAAAACAACAACAAAGTAGGGTCAGGGGAAGAGAGGTACACATAAACAGTCACAGTCACTTGTGTTCCAGTGGTCAGTATTTCAGCCCTTATGTTGGGAGGGATTCTGGAAGAAGTCATTTTCACTTTATTACTTGAAGAAAACAGCCTGATCAAAATAAGCAAGTCAGAGTGACTTCTGATCTTCTGCCTAGTCCTGCCTGTATTCTGATGGCTGCAAATTGACTAGTTCAGGGCAAAGGACACAAAAAAGAAGATTCTGGAACACCTAGCTTTTATTCTGCTTTCATTTTCCCATGGAAGAGTTTCCCAAGAGAACAGTTTGTGCTTTTAGCAAAAGCAACTTCTAAGGCTCTATTCCAATAATTATTATGAAAATCTTATGTGTGCTTTGGAAGCCCAGCAGAGGGCAGATGAACTGTGTCCAGAGACATGCATTTGTGACATGGTGAATGTTCACCTCCATTTAAGTGGTATATATCTTCCTGCGTGAAAATGAACTGCCAGAAGTCTGGCAGCTCCTAGGTAGCTTCAGAAGGGGTTGAGGTGGGGACTGTGATAGGAAAGACCAAGGCAATGAGCTGAAGAGCTGAGGGACAGCGCCCAGGCCCAGAGTTCAGGCCCCACAACCAGACCCCCCCGCCCCCCAAAAAAAGGAAAAACCAAGGCAGGACTAGAGGGCTAGGAGTTTTCATTTCTCACTCTTAACTTGCAGAGGTTAGATGGATCACCAATGACCAGTGGTTTCTTTGTGTTTACATAATGATGCTTCCAGAAAAACAACAACAACAAAGACTGGGCTCCTGGAGGAAGTAGTGTTCCAGAAGCATGGAAGTGACCATCTCTTCTACCATACCTTATTCTAAGCATCTTTTGTGTGTTTGTGTGCCAGTACTGGAGCTTGATCTAGGGGTCTGAAGATCTTGCTCAGCTTTCTTGCTCACAGCTAAGGCTCTGTTGCTTGACTCACATCTCTAGGCTGGCATTTTGCTGGTTAATTGGAAATGGAGTGTCTTTGACTTTTCTGCCAAGGCTGGCTTCGAACCTTGGTCTCAGCCTCCTAAGTAGCTAGGATCACAGATGTGAGCCACCAGTGCCCAACTTAAGCATCTCTTCATGTGTATCTTTTGTAATACCCTTTTCCAATAAACCAGTTAATGTGTTTCTATGAGGTCTTATGAATTGCTCTAGCAAATTAATGGAACTCAGGAAAGGATTAAGGTAATAATACTAATTTATAATGGTCATGAGAAGTTCAGGAGTCTTCACTATTAAGTGGGGTGGGCATTCTTTGAGACTGAGTTCTCAACCTGTGTGGGAGGTGTCTGATGTTACCTCCAAGTGAATAACATATCTTAAGCATTGAATTGAATTTGAGGATGCCCAGCTGGAGATCCCTGCTTGCTTAATGGGTGGGTATTGCCTGACCAGAGACTTAGCAGTCTTTGCAGTGTGTGTGTGGTGGCTGAGAAGGAAGTTATGGAGGGAAGAACATGTACATACTTGTGTAAGACATTTAGTAGGAAGCAGAAGAGCAGCTGGGTTTATTGAAGCAGAAAAGACAGGAAGAGATTTATAATTTGGAAAGATGGAGTCTTTTGGGAAAGAAACTCTGTGGTGTTTTCGATAGCCTTGAAAACAACCCTTCAGAGATGATTGAGAAATACTATTTCATCACCTGCCAGATTGGTAAAAAGAAAAATCTGATAAAATCAAGTGTGGTTCAATATAGTGGAAAAATGTTGTGAAAGTTTATTGTTACCTAGGAGAACTGAAGAAAATATAGACCTATTACCCAGCCATTCCATTCTCTCTTGCAAGTGCCTTAAAATAATTGTTGCACATGTACAAGATCAGGTACGGGGGAGGGGCGGTGGAGGGGGAAGATGGGAAAGGATGGTAAGGGAAAACAAAGGAGGAAGCAACAATGCTTGATAAGAAATGATGTACTCATTGTCTTGCCAATGTAATTGTTTTGTTTTGTTTTGTTTTTGTCGGTCGTGGGGCTTAACTCTGGGCCTGGGCGCTGTCCCTCAGCTCTTCAGCTCAAGGCGAGTACTCTACCACTTGAGCTACAGCACCACTTCCGGTTTTCTGGTGGTTTATTGGAGATAGGAGTCTCACGGTCTCTCCTGCCTGGGCTGGCTTTGAACCGCAATCCTCAGATCTCAGCCTCCTGAGTAGCTAGGATTACAGGCGTGAGCCACCAGCGCCCGGCTTGCCAATGTAATTGTAACCTCTCTGTATGGTATTTTCACAATAAAAAAAGTTTGAGTATGTTATCAAGCATCAAAAAAAAAAAAAAAAAAGATCAGGTACAGGAATGATGTATTACAATGATATATTTGCAATAGCAAAAGTTTGAAAACTGCTGGGCGCCAGTGGTTGATACCTATAAAATCCTAGCTACTCGTCAGGCTGAGATCTGAAGATTGTGGTTTGAAGCCAGCTTGGGCAGGAAAGTCCATGAGACTCTAATCTCCAACTAACCACAAAAAAGACAGAAGTGGAGCTGTAGCTCAAGTAGTAGAGTGCTAGCCTTGAGACAAAAAAAGGTCAGAGACAGGTCCTAAGTTCAAGCCCAGAACTGGCACCAAAAAGAAAAAAGAAAAAAAGTTTGGAAACTTCCTACTGTAATAAATAACCAAATCTTACTGTTTACACATTAGGATATGATTTGATAAGACAAAAGGATGTAACTACAGGTAATATGAATGAATCTCAGCAACCCAATGAATGAAAGAAATTGCAAAAGAATAATGCAAACCAAGTGCTGGTGGCTCACGCCTGTAATCATAGCTACTCAGGAGGCTGAGATCTGAGGATCATGGTTCGAAGCCTGCCTGGGCAAAAAAATTAATGAGACTTTTTTTCCTCCTTAAATGAAACAGCAAAAAGCCAGAAGGGGAACTCTGGCTCACGTGGTAGAGCATCATTCTTGAGTGAAAAACCCAAGCAAGAATGTGAGGCACTCAATTTAAGCCCCAGTACCAACACACACACACACACACACACACACACACACACACACACACACACACACACACACACACACACACACACACACACACACACACACAGAAAAAAGAAAAAAAGGGAGTGAAAAACCCAAGCAAGAATGTGAGGCACTCAGTTTAAGCCCCAGTACCAGCACACACACACACACACACACACACACACACACACACACACACACACACACACACACACAGAAAAAAGAAAAAAAGAAGGGACTGAGAATGTGGCTTAGTGGTAGAGTGCTTGCCTAGCATGTATGAAGCCTTGGGCTCGATTCT